CTTAGTTGTCCTAAATAATAGTTATTAAATAGTATTAATATTTTTAAATGCCTGACGGTGAATTCTTTTAATTATATTTGGGAGGGATTAAAATGATTTTAGTTTTTGAGTTGGATTTTATCTGTCTGGAGCAATATTTGAGATAAAGCTTTTTCAATTAAAGACCCTGGATGGATCATCCGTCCCAAATGACTTTTTGGGACAGATTTGACTATCCTGAATATATATATATATATATATATATATTTTTTTTTTTCTCGTAGTTATATCATCGAGGAATTTGTCAGTTTTATCTTTGTTTCCTAAATAAATTATTTACTTTTTTTAAGGTTGTAACAAAATTTGAAACTATAAAGATGGAAAATCAAAGCTTGTACTCTTGCACACATAAAAAGAAAAGGAGGTCACATATAATTTTGAATCCTATAGTTAAAGCCATATTTTTGCTATCGACCAAGTAAAAACTAGTGGTATTATGAGAATGCTAAAACCAACGCAAATGTGAAAACATTTGCACAAAACCCAATTTAAAAAATAATGTATACGGTTACAATTGGTTTTGGGCAACCACTTCCCTAAATTTAAAGGTTAAAAAAAAAAAAAAAGGCACAAGATCAAAGCCCGTCATGATTAAGTGTTTGGGGGCCATCAATGATGGAGTAGTTAATGGCTGCAAATGGAGCAGAGATGGTGAACGAGGATCTTGTAGAATGAGAGAATTGGTGAAAAGAGAGAGGATAAGAAGATAATTATAAAATTTACTAACTAAAGTTCTGTTTTATATGGTTGTGATTTTGAATTTTTGGTTCTTGTTTTGGTTTTTAAAATTTAAACAATCAGAATTAACTATTAGAAATCAAAATTAAAAATTAAAAATGCCAATTCATTAGGTGTAAAATTTTAAAACAAATACTTACAATTCTAAACTTAATTAATTTATATAACTTAATTTTATTTTAAAGTTTCTAAACTTTTGAAAATTAAAACTAAAAGCTAAAAACTATAATCATACTAAATAAAGCCTAAATGCCCTTTAAACTAAAAGAAATTAGAGCCCTTGAAATCTATGCCAATCAAAATTCTCTTCAAAAAAAAAAAAAAATTACAATCCTTTCACAAAAAATGCCATCCTCTCACAAATTCATGCCAACCAAAATGCCCTTTAAACTAAATGAAATTACAACATTCTCGTAAACAAATGACATTCTATAAGATTTTAGAGAGAGATAGATACAAAACCAAATAAAGAGAGAAAGGAGGAGTAGGCCATGCACTACTCTCCTTATTATTCTTAAGATAATGCAACAAAGTAATAACATAAAAAGATAATAATATAGAGAAAATGTGAAGATAAAAAACATGAAATTTATGTGGAAAACTCTAATGATAGAAAAATCATTGAACAAAATGAATAACTTCACTATATAAAGATGAGTATAATTTGACTTTTTCCTATAGAAGAAATTAAAGCATGAAAAAAAAAAAACAAAAGAAAAAATTGAAAAAAAGGCACATATTATTTTATAATATAATAATGAGTACATAGGTACTATAATATAGGCATTGAGTAATTCATTGACCAAGAAACCTAAAAACTCTAAATCAATCTAACATAATAACTCTAAGAGCTATTACCATAATTGACTCAATAACTATTAATGGGTATCTCCCAATATCTGTCAATATCCCTAACACTTCCCCATTATAGCTTATTCCACTAGTTCTCACTATGGGAGAGTGGAATCCAAGGAATGAATACACTAGTAAGTAAGTATCGCCTTATAAGATTGGGTTTAGGGTTTAAGTATTGGAGCTAACATTTAAGAAAATTAATTTCCTTAAAATGCACCAAACTAATGTGAGGGGTGTACTCTTAAGATCACCTAAGAAGGGATTTGTCCTGAGAGGGCTGGATCCACTGGTAAGTATGTATCCTCTTGTATGCTAGGTTCGAAGTTCAAGTCTTGGATCTATCACTAAAAAAAATTAATTTTCTTTAATGCACCAAGTTGATGTAAGGGGTGCCCCTTAAGATAGCCCGAGAAGGGATTAGTCTCTAGGTGCACAAAAACTAGCTCAAGGACACCCTAACCACAAATACAAATACAAATACAAAAAAAAAAAAAAAAAAAAAAAAATGAAGTTACAGCTCTCCAGCGTGTGGAGAATTCGCCCGGTGGGCTTATCGGGTTTACCAGGCTAGACGGGTCAAGCGATTTTCTTGTGTTTGGACGGTTGGATCGTTAAAACAGGTCTGGGTATCCACCCAACCAGTTTCAGCAACCGAGTGGTGGTTGAATCCAAGGTTTTTAAAACCGGACCGGTCATTGAACCGTTTTCAGGTCCGGTTTCTGGTTTGACCGATTCAACCGGTGAACCAGCCGGTTCAAATAACAAGGGAAATTTGATGATAAGGATAAGTAATTTTGTAATTTCATTAAAATTAAGGGTTAAAATCGGTATAAGAAAAGAATGGTGAAGGTGAAATTGGAAAAACCAAAAAAAAAATTGCATGAGAAATTGAACCGGTAATTTTTTTGGTTCTATCGGTTCCACCGGTTTCACCGGTTTTGACCGGTTTTAAATGGTTTTGATCGGTTTTGAATGGTTTTTGACCGGTTTTGACCTTAAATGGTTTTTTTTGTGAACCGAGCCGTTTTCATTATCGAGTACCGATTCGATCGGTTCAACCGACCAATCTGGTCCGATTTTAAAAACCTTGGTTGAATCAATCAGACCGATTGTTCGGTCTGGTTTTAAAAAGGTTAAATGCTCATTTTGGTCCCTCAACTTTAGTGGTTTCCACATTTTTGGTCCCTTGAGAATTTTTTGCACTTTTTTTTGATCCCTCAACTATACGAAATGCACTCCGTTAGTCCTTCTGTTAATTTGTACCGTTAACTCGCCGGCATTTTTTATAATTTTTTTGATGAGGTGGCAAAAGCATATTACAAACGTGTCCACCTAAAATTTTTTTTTATTACAACTCATTGCCACATCATATTATTATTATTTATATTTTAAAAAATAAA